CACCCCCACCCTTGATTCTGGGCTTATCAGTAATAAAAGTAATCACACTCACTAAATCTTTGAAGATTAGAGGATATGGAAAGGCCTCCAGGTGTTTTGAATGCAAATGTTTACTTAGTTGAACAAAAGCCCAAGATTTTAAAAAAATAATTTACTATTTTACTTCCAACACTGGTATTGAGTTCCAGTCTTGAAATCAGTCCAGCCACCCCTAGTCTCACAAGTGGCAGAGAAATCTTTCATAATAAGTCACCAGTAAGGGTTTTTATTCCAGACCTTGCTCCACAGCTGCCAAGAAAAGACAGAAATAAAGTGCCTCTTCCATTTTAAAGGTTTCACTAATTTGTGTCACGACTGACTTCCTGATATATCAGTGCACTTTAAGCTTAAAATTAGGTTGGGGTGTTTTTTGCTCTTTTTTTTTTTTTTTTTTTAATTTATTGACAGCACAAGAAACTCCCTCCTGCGTTTTCCCAGAAAGCAGCACGGATGGATTTAGCTGTGAGACTTCTGTACAGAATGAGTGATGTGGCAGCAAGGGAAATTCATCTGTAAAACGCATCTTCATTTATAGGCACCTCCTTAGGGCCTCCGCAGACACGTTCTTGATTGTACCTTTATCAACTTTATACAGTGAAAGATGGCAAATTGGCTCTGAAATCTTCAAACTCTTCCCCATAAGACTGAACTTTTCCCATTATTCAGAAGAGAGGGGTTCTTTTCTCCGTAATCGGGGGTATCTAGGGACCAGTAAATTAATACTTGTTTACTTATATCCTCCTGCTGTTTTGCTAAAATACATACAAAGTGCTCCTCTTAGGATGCATTAAGTATATCAGCATGTTGTTTGTTTTATAACCTGGGCAAAAGCATAACAATATAGCTTCTCACCAGGGTGCACACAATCCACAAATTCAGTAAAAGGAAGCAAACGGATTCTCAGAACATGGAGCTTCTGGGTAGTCAGAATTGCAGATGCTTGAGTGAATGTTAAAGCTCCTCGCCATCAATCTGACCTTGTCCTGTCTTATTATTGGAGATGATTTCTCAGAGCTGGCTGTACTTTGGGGGAGAAACTTGAAAAAAAAAAAAACCAACCCTGAAAAATACATACGTGGGTGGACTAGAGAAATGTGCCATTTTTGTGTCACAGTTTTAGCTAAGAAAACTACTTCCAACCTCAAAGGCTAGTCATTTTATAAAAATGTGAATATATTTAAATTTCTAAATGTTAACACAAAAGAGCAAAAAGGATTGAAGCATTTAATGTGACTGAATCAGAACATTCAGTTTCATTTCATCCAGAAAATGAACAAAACATGAATTCCCCTTCCCCAGAAGGCAGCTGTGAGCACCAGGTAGCTCTTACAGAGTACAACACTGGCAACAGTCTTGTTAAATCTTGAGCTGCTGCCCCTCGCATCCCCTGCATTTTAGTGTTGGGATTAAACAGGTCTCACGCTAGGGAGACCAACAAGAAATTCCCACAAGGGATAAGAAGTGGTAATGATGAATTACTGGAGACTGAAGCAAGGTCACTGCAATGAAAGAAGTTTGGATTCAGCTCCCTAATCTGGCTGAAGGCTGGAGGAAGAAGCCAATTTGTTCCTTGTTCATCTGATAACTGGTCTTCCCACACACTTCTGTTCAAGGCAAGGCAGGAAAAAGTCTGCAGCCTAATTTTGCTTCCCATTTCTTTCCCCACTGAATCCACAGATGTGGCATCAAAAATGGGCTGTACCTGAGAGAGATGCTGCTGTTGCTTAGTGTCTACGAAGTTCAGGAGAAACCCCAACTCCCTTTCATCTCTCTTGGCTAGGACGCTGAATGAGCGCGCTGCTGCTGGCACGTTCCTCCTCTTCAGCTGCAGCACAGCCAGTCTTGCACTAGCAAAGTCATCAGCAAGTGAGTGGCCAAATGCTTCCTGAAGGTGGTCAAGGGCCTCTTCATACCTGCCTGTTGGTTAACACCAGGACAAGCTATATAACCCATTCCATGTGGAGAAAGAGGCATCAAGAAAACTTACTAAAGAAGGGTTTAGGGAGCCTGTCCACATCTAAGGGTATTAATTACTTCATGCCCTTTCCCAAAACATTTGCAAACTTCTCTTGAAAAGTACTGCACAACAATACACTTGCCATTTAACATTCACTTTCTTTTAAGTTACTGCTCATTCACTTAGTCTGATCAGCTGTGTAAAAAACGGGAACTTACCATTTGCAATCAAAACATCTGTGTAGAAGATGTGATATTGTGCATCCTTGCAAATTTTAACTAGTGCTTTTGCAATCACGAGAAGATCCCCGAGGGTTTCTTCTTTTGAAAGGTCTTTAGCAGCAAGGAGCTCAGTTAACGCAGTCCTGCCGTGCTGAAGGAGCCACTGAGTGACCAAGCCCTGGGCTTCACGATTTAAAGACAGGATTGCTGGGATCACTACTCCTGCCTCCACCTTCAGCGCCGAGATCAAATCTTGCACTGCCTCCTGAGTAAAAACAAGACCAAAAATGAATTTATAGCAATAACCATATATTGATAATTTGTTCCTTCAGTTCTCTGCTGTCGTCGCACAGCTTTGGAAGCCCTTTGCCCTTCCCTGTCCTTGTGCTGCTTCTTTTCCATTTTTAAAGCTGATACAAGAGCATATAGATGGGTTTGAATGACTATTTGCAAAGTGTTTTGAACTCCTCAGATTACCACCAGAAACAATTCTTACAGCAATAAGAAAGAGATCCTGTGAATGTGTAAGCACAGGCAGGATTTGGCTCAGCCAGGATATCAAGCACAAATCCACACACCCAACTGGAGCTGCACCAGTTCAGATTCACTGTAGGACTGGTGTGATATGCAGGTAAGGTTGAGGCTACTGACTATATTAGAAACAGATAAACCATGTTAACATCTGATATGAGTTCCAGGCAGTGATACACTGCAACCTCCAAAGTCCACTGTAATGCTAATTGCAGACGTGAGCTTTGCACAGATGATGGAGAGCAAGTCACTAAACCTTGAAACTGTTCTTTTTCCTCTTGTTGCTACATTTTGTCTAACAAAACATCATGTCATGAAAATGTGAGATAGGGCAGATTGCAACATTGCAAACCAGTGCATGGCAGTGACAGTGAGTAAGATCTAGGTTTAGTTTTCCCCTCTCCAAACTTGGGAAAGCAAATCAGTAATGTCAAGTGGACTACTTATACACAGGGCCAAAACAAGAGCCTTTCACTGCCCAAATTCTGTGAGGAACTCTTGATTTCAGTGAGTCCATGACAAAGCCTGTGGTACCTTATACTAGTACTGCTTAATACAGTCAGAAAAATCACTAGCAAATCAATATAGTGATGATACCTTCTCCTGCTTCAGAGCAAGGTGAATGAGTCCTCGTCCACTCAGAGCTTGCACGTTCCTAGGGTCCTCCTTTAGGATGGCATTAAAATCAAAAATAGCAGTTTTCTTCTGACCGAGGCGCCCATAACACTGAGCCCTGATGAGAAGGCACTCTTCAGCATAACCACCTGGAGGAGAGAAATGCAGCCATGCTTACTTGAAAGGTCTCAAGTCTACTGCTCTAAGACACAGTGTGGTAAAAAACCAAAACAAAACAAAAAAAAAAGAGCAGGGTGCAGACCACTAAGCCCCATCGAAGTGGCTAAGTGAAAATGTTGTGTTACTGTGGGAATGAAAACTAGGTACCACTTTCTTCAGAGCTGTGGCAAGGGTGGAGTAAGAGGGGTGTGCTGGATGGAGGCAAATGGTGTGGTAAGGAACTGCAGTCCACAGTGGGACTGGGAGAAGAATAAGGAGGGTGCAGGAGAGGCTACCCAAGGATACCCATGGGAAGCTATAGAAAAATTCCACTTTGTCCGAGCATACTTGATGAAGTACAGCAATGGTACTTAAGTGGTAGCTTCCTTTATTTTAATTGCCAGTGGAATTCCTACCACGTATGATCAGTTCTGAGTTGAGCAGGAGAAAAGACTCTGTGCTGGGGTTGCTTTCCAAAGCACCCTGCTGAATCAGCTGAGTGTCCTGCTGAGGCTAGCGGAATTCTGTCAAAGAATGAATTTTCATTGGTGAATTCTTGAAAGTGTTTGCTGGTGTGCGGTGCAAAGACAAGGCTACTCTGACAGTCCAGGGCCTGTGGTGTACGGGTCAACATCATTCTGCAGGGACACGGTGAGCTCGGTGTTGCTGCTCAGGACTGGAGTTCAGTGTTTAGCTTTATTCAAAAGTCCCATCTAACCTCTGAAAAAGCACTGTGTTTCTTTGTATGTCATCACCTAACTTGGGAAACACATCTTTCACGGCTGGTTGGGATGATTTCAGTATGTTTGACACAAGCCACAGAAACATTAACGAGACACAAAGGGGTTTGGATGTTAGGCTAGCCTAACACCAGTATCAGCCTAAAAGCTTTCCCACCCAGCCAGCAGAGCTGCCCGCCAGCGTGGCCGTGAACCCTCCTCTGACACAGAGCTGGCCACAGTTCTCACTTGGGGGTGGCTGACAGCAGAAACCAGGGTATCTTCATACTTGTCTGGAGGCCACCAAGGAACAGGCAAGCCTGGACCAATAAAAAGGTCTGGGCTGCAGTATGTGCCAAACCCCCCCGCCTTTCAGCGCATATCTTTTGCTACTAAGATGAATTTTTCAAAAAAGAAAGATTCTGCATGTTATAAACAGAAAACCCAGTTCTGGAAATAGCATATATATATTTATATTTACAGAAAGAAAAAGAATAATTCTAACAGTGATCTACAGAAAGGAAGGACACTTGGCTGAGAGTAGTTGTATGGCTGCAATTTGATTTATAACTGTAACTGTCCTACTGTGACTCAACTCTTAACTTTCCAGACAGGAACAGGAACACCAGGAACACTCTGCCAGGCACACCAAAAACACAGGCCCCACTTCAAAGAGTCTTCAGTCTAGTTAAACATGCCAAAAGAACATTTTAATAAATAATTGAATGAGTGGAAAAGGTAACAGAATGAAAATCATAAAATCACATTGCTCAGCTAGCTCAAAAGCTTCCTGGTTTCTCATAAAAACAAATACACATGTCAATCAACACTGTCTCTCCTCAAATATCCATGACTGCTTTTCTGATTGCCTCAAGGTCTCAGCAAGAGTGGGTCTCCTCAGAAACAGCCAAAGGAAGCAAAAGGAGTGGCCTGGAATTATTAAGCACCCAAACTTCCCACGCAGGCAAGGATTTTTTTCGACCTTCTCTGGGATACCTTGACTCAGGCAGCTGACAGCAGAAAGAAATTCCATGTTTGCCAGTTGTCATGAAACTAATTCTATCAACTTTGGAGGAGATCTGGGAAGCTTTGCCCTTTGTTATTCTGCCCTAAGGTCTTCCATTTCATGCATTTTCATGAGGTCCTGCAAAAGGCAGCGTTGTGATGCTGTTCTGGAAAGCAGCAAAAGGAAGATGAGGCTATTGCAAAAGAGAATGTCTTTGTATCTCCCCATGTATCCACCACCACACCTTTCTCCAAAGACATCATTAATGTGCAACAAATGGAGTCAGCCTTCCAATGATGTGACCATCATCTCAGAATCTGAGCTGGATTAGGATCCAATTTATTTAGGAGGAATCCTTGGAGATTTTAGTATGATGGAATAGAAGCAGCACAAATGACAGAAGCAAGCTCTAAAAGGAAGATACAGGAGGATGGAGGCACAGGGCCATTTGCCTGTTTTAATAAAGTGAGACAGAAGGTACACGTTTTGGATAAAATCCAGACGGGATTGACTAATTTATTGCCACACTTAATACGCATGGGGATTTGTGATACTAAAGATTCTTTTTTCTCTGGTTTCACATAAGTGCTGCCCAAATAAACACAGGTAGTTGACAGTGAAAACCAGGCTCTGTTCATTCACTGGTTGCAGAGCATATATCTTTCTGCCATCGACATGCCCCTTCCTTTCAATTTTGATAAGGATGTTAATATGCCCAGGGTTGCAATCCATAAATGTGACATCCCAATACTGGATGATAAATCATCAGTGCCACTGTAAATATTTTTTCGTAGGGAGGTCAGCAAATGCAGTATCTTGCACAGCTGCCTGCCGAGATGAGCCAGCAGACAGGCTCCTAGCAATTCCTCTACAGTAATGAGGCTTCTTCTCCCTCCTGATATGCTCCAAAACTTCTGTACCAAAGGTTATTATCGCGCTGGAGCTTTACCAATTGGCTCCTATAAAGACAATATCTATTTCTTAACAAGCATCTGTTCTAGCAGGTGGGGAGCTGATAAGCTGGAATGCATGGGCTGTGAAATGGAACCATCTCAAAGCAATTAACAGGGTTTTTTTTTCCACTTCCATAAACCAATCTCTCTTTTTCTCAATGCTGCTGTCATAACATTTGCTCAGAGTGAAAGGCAGATTTCCATACAAACATGGTTTTACTTGGAACATGCCAGAAGCATTTCCATGTCAGCCTGATCTCTCTCCTCGGGAAAAACTAGGATAATGATGCGTGTAAGTGGGTGCAGTCACTCTTCTGCACTGGAACCACACGTTCACTGGAAAACCAGGGAAATGCTTAGATCAGAAGTTCCAAGCCAACAGCTGGAAATAGATGGGTTCAGGATGTTAAGGATCTTTTTCAAGTTATGAAGGAACTGTAGGTTCTTTGTGTTGACATGACCCAGTAAGGATGGTTTAGGCCTGAACTTAACTTTTAGTAGGTGAACAATACAAATTAAAATAATGCTTAGCAGTGTTCCAGGAGGATTTCACATGCTGAACAGCAGAACAAAAACACGTGCTAGGCTTTCTGGACAGGTGAAGAAAAGGGGCTGATGTCCCTGTAGAACTGAACTGAACCCTTACAACCCATTTCAAGTTCACAAACTACTTGTGGGACAGCAAGAACTGCACTCACTGTTTAATTGCACTATTTCATGGTCCAGAGGAGTTGCTACTTTAATCAAATTTCATCCTGCTCTTCACTTGCCTTCATAAGCCTACTGTTTTAATCTTCTCATTGGGGGAATGACAGATGGGAACTGGTTGGACACATTTGCCTACCCACTGCTCTGACCTCCCATAGAAGTAAATCTCCTCTCGGCATCTCGGTAACCCTACCTGAAGCAATGATGGCAAAGGAAAGGTAGGCAATGGCCTCTTTGATGTCAGCATCCTCCTGTTTGTTCTTCAAGATGGACAGCGCCCTGAAATGGCAGTGAATTTGCATCAGCTTCCGGTCTTCATCCTTGAAAACGTCCATGATTGGCAGGAGGCAGGAGGTATCTCCAATTCTGATCACTTTCTTCAGCAGCTTAACAATGTGAGAGAAAGGCAGAAGAGAAAGATTGGCATGAAAAGCCATGCTAAAGCTGGAAATGTTACTGTCTGGTGAGGCAAGACTGCTCTTACGCAGTGCTTCCCCCCATTTCCCCGGGGCTGCAGCCAGTCACAGTCCAGCCAAGGGCTGTGAATCTCCTTTGCTTAACTCCTCAGCCAGCCCTAATGTAAATGCACGTTGGAGAAAACATCCATTCTTATCTTTTCTCACCTCGGCAGCAGCTGTGGAAATCATTCTGGGGAAATACATAATGCTGCCTTGCTTATTTTGGGCAGCATCTGTTCCAGATGGGCGGTCAACTGTTTTTGTCAACACAGCTGAACCGCAGGATGATTGCCCCAAAGCGAGACAGTTTCTGAGGAACAGGATTCCAGTGACCCCTTTTGGCTTTAAAATTGGAATCAGGCTATCAATGGAATATCAGTGAAGTGCTGTGCCTTCCTTCCAGTACTGTTATTGGGAATTTGGGAAAAGTACGAATTCAAAGCCACAAACTACTGTCCTCCTGGAAAAGAATCTTGCCTGGCATACAGCATCTTTGCCTCCGTTCACTACAGTGAGAGTCACCCAACACTTTTCTACTACATTTCCCAAGGAAAAGACTCCAAAACTATTTCCTCCAGTGAAGCAAACGTGCTTAGCAGGTATACAATATTCAAATCTGAGCCAGAGAAGTCAGGACAAGAACAAAGTTATCTTGATGCACCAGACACATCCATTAAACTTATTACGTTCTCTGTTTTTATTAATAGATGCAAGTGTCTGGGTGCTGACAGGCAGGTGGGACAAAAACATCTTGAAGAGAAATTTTTGGTGACACATACATTCCATCTAGAACTTGTAGCAGAAGCGGCAGATAGGAATCCAGCTTCCAAAGGCAACAAGATGGGCTCTAATAAAGTCATGACATTCATTAATAACCTTCCCAAAGGCAGTAAATTATACAAAACTTTTGTTTTTCATAGGGAGTAGTGAAGTGGTGACAACAAAATCTTTCTCTTTAGGACTAGCAGTGTTTATATGGGATTTAAAAAATGCAATAGTTCCCTCTGATGGCAGAACCTGGTAATTCAGCTTGGGAATGCTTGGTAGAACCAACACACTGGAATCTCTTTCATGGTTTCAAGCACAAATCATTATCCCCTAAAGAAAGAAAACTGCAGACTGATATTTGAGCTTCGGGTTTTGTTTCTTTCCTCAGCCTCCCTACAACGCTTCATTAGGATAATCAGTTAGGTAGTTCTAAGCCTTCTTTTCTCTAGGGGAAAATTATCAATGCCATCAATAATGTCACCAGGGCCAGAATGCTCAGTGATGCTCTTCCTAGTCAGTGTCCCTAATGAAAAGTGCCATTAAATAGCATATGATGAATGGGCTGTATTTAGGCAGGAGTCCTGTGTGGCCTCTACTACGTACGAGGCCTGTGTTTAAATCTTAAAAGTTCTGCTAGAGGTTGAACTACCTACACCTCATGTGAGCTCCGTGCTTCACTGTGTCAACAGTCCTTGCTGTTCATGGAGCTTCTAACAGCAGACTGTTTAGTTTTAAAGTGGAAACACATATGAACCACCGAGCATGATGATGTAATTTGTGATTTCATTGCAGTTTGGGAAAAGCAGTATCAAGTCGGGTCAAATGCAGCTATTTGGAAGGAAGTGGCCCTGAAGATGAAACTTTGCACTGCCCTGAACCACAGAAATTTGCAAAGCTGTTTGAATTTAAAAATTACCTAGCAAACAGGGAGGTTAATTTTTTATGAAAGTCACCAAGTTTTCTTAGAATTTCCTGTCTTTTTCAGAGACATCTTCCCAGTTTACCAACGCTCCTGAGAAATGCCTTGCAGCGCAGGTTGGGGTAGGTGCAACCCCCCTGGAAAACCCATGCCAGGTTGTGTGACGGGCTGGGTTCCAACTTGCCCCACGCGATGAGGTGGCCTCACAGCGCAGCTTGTCCCCAGAGTCTCACAGTTGTCATGTAACACCAGGGAGCGGAGACAAGCAGAGCACTGTGCTGGGAAACAGAAAGCCCTTGGAACACCCTCCAGCAAGCCTGTGTCTCAAAGTGGTCCCTCTGGAGTTCTGTATCAGCCAAAAGGGCTGTTAACCCTCTTCACCCCACCACTGCTGACCACTCTCTCCCTCTCTGCTTGCCAGGTGCTCCTTACCTGGTTGCCATCATACATGAACCCTTTCTTCAGTTGCAGAAGGGCGAGTCTAGCCAGGACAGAAGACCTCTGTGGATTTCTGGAGAGTGCCAGTAAGAGGAGCTTGTGAGCTTCTTCTACACAACCCATCTGGTACAGGGCATCAGCACAAAGGATCCGCGATGCTTCGTCAGAAGCGTCCAGCTCCACCAAGAGAGAAGCCAGCTGGCAAACCCCAGGGGCATCTCTGGAGGAAAGAAAAAAAAAAAAAGAAAAAGGGAAAGACCACCTTCAAGGAAAAAATGCAAATGAGAGTAACTGAGCCTCTTTGTCTCACCTAGAAGCTAAGCAGCAGATTATTAGTCCAGTATCAAAATGGATGGTACATTTTACCATATGCAGCACCACAGGTATCTCTGCCACTTAATTCCATAATCATAATCCCTCTTTATAAAAACATGTTCTTAAGCAGTTGTGTCTCTAAAGAAAGGTTAACAAATAATGATTCATACCTGTGGTTGCAACTGATACCACACTGGGAAAAGGAAAAAGTAACAGTGATAGTTTAAAAAAAAAAAACAACAAACCCAAACAAAAAAAGCAAGTCGCTATTTCTAATGAAGAGCTGTGTGTTAAAATCTGCATGGAAGAACTGTGTTAATAGGTAGGTGCTTGTTCCAGAAGCAGTGACCTGTGTCTGAGAGGGCTTGTGCCTGTGCCCTGATGTGCCAGTGCACCACTGAACCGAGTTAGCACATTTTCTGTCCTTCAGTTATACCACTGGAGTGCAGGCCCCCAGACCTGGGTGTGAACTGTGCATCATGCAACTGCAGAAAAAGGCCGTAATAGTATTAAAATCATTAAGACACTAAATAAATGTGGTAACAGTTGTAAAGAGCAGCCACCTGAGATAACTTTTACATGCTATTTCAAGTTTTCTCCTGAAATATTAGTATTTCACGTGAGAAAAAAACTGAGGATGCAACATTTAAAATTCAGTTTTGGAGCAAATGGAAGACTTTTCCTGGGGTGGTATCAGACAAAATTTTGAAGCACTGCAACTTTTATATTTAAATAGTAGTAGCTTGTTTTCTGTTGGAAGAACTAAAACAATATAGATACTACTTTGATGAGCAACCTTTTCTGAGCTTTAGAAAGATGATTTTAAGTACTAAAGCCTCAGAGTCCCTCTGTTACACCCTGTTCTACCTTCAAACTCGAGTTTTAATGGATTTAACTGGAATCATTTGGTGTTCCTATCCCAGATCTCCCAGCCTTAAATATGACTTTAATGCAGTTAGCACTGAACAAAGAATTTGGATTGCCAGCACCAAGCACGTGCACAACAGCACCTCAGCTCTGTCTTGGAAGGACACTTTGTAGGGGCCCACCAAATCCTTCAGTTCAGAGCCAAGAGGGAAAGGAGCCAGCTAGCACCAACCAATCTGTCTTATTATAGGTAGAACTACTCCCTTAGAGGAGGAATCTGTCATATTCCCTCTAGCAGTTTGTGTGCTCCTAGCTTAGGCCAATTGGTATATCATGGATTAACATCCACAGAAAGATTGAGCTGATTTGGCTACGTGGGTCCTACTGCACTGACATACCAGCAAACCAGTATTTTGGTGGCATCACCACACCCACGCAGTTTTATTTAGACCTGTTATGTTAGTTAGGAAGTTCTAAGGGTCTCTATCCTAGTCTCAGTTCTCTGTAGCAAGTACTCCCTCTACTACTCAAGCCACTCTCATTTTGTTAGGAATGTGCACAGCCCTGTTCCTTTTTCTGCCCACGGGCTGAACTGCCTCCTGGGTACCTCTTCTTCTGGAGCATGTTCTGTCCTTCTTCTTGGAGAACTTTCAGCAGTAGTCCTCGCTGGTTCCACGGCACATAGGACTTGATAGTGAAGATGGTTTCTTCCAGCTTTAACTGGCAAGCTGTGATATAATCCAGGGCTGTCAAGTAATGGCTGCCACCAGAAATCCGGATAAGTCCACGCCCACATAAGGCTTTAATACAGCTGTTAGGATGTGGGGAATCATGCTCAATGACCTTTTGAAAGTCCTGCAGGGCTTGCTGATGGTCGTGAGCGTGGAGGAAGCAGAATCCTCGCAAGGCTAAGAGAGTATTGTAGTAAGTTTTCTGCTCTGCTGCCAAGAGGTGGTCACAGATATCCCGGGCAGTTCTGATGTGCCCGTGCAGGAGGTGGCAGTCTGCTAGCCGGACACTGAGCTCACGTTTGGACCCTGGGGAGATCTGAAGGAGGAGCTGGACTGTCTGGATGACAGAAGGGAGCAGTTCAGCACCTTGATTGCCTCTGAGATCAGCCCGAGTACGTACAGCCTCCCTGTATGCTGCAAACTTCACCTCCAGGACAGTTCTAGCCTGTTCTTCTATCCTCTCAGTGTCATGTGGTGAGAAAAGCTCTTCAAAGTGTTTCATTGCCTGGGCAGGGGTTGCTGCGAAGGCTTCTGCTAAATCCTGCATCATTTCCTGCATCCGTCCACCCAAGAAAAAATACGCAGCGGCCCGTTCCAAGAGCAGACCCAAAGCTTCCTCATCTCTGACATTATTATCTGCTGAGAAGCCCTCGAGGGCCTTGCTACAAACTGCAACACACTCCTCAAATTTGCTTTTCTTAAAAAGGTAATCTGCTTGCACTCTGCAAACCCAGATATCATCCGGTGCCACTGCAGACAGGAACTCATAGCAGTTGCCCAGCCACTGGTCCAAGGAGCTGCAGTCTGGACTTTCTTTCTGGTATGTTGAAAGATAATTCGAGAAGGCCTGGATGACCCGTGGCAGGTGTTCCCTTTGCCTTGCACACACATAGGCCACTGCCTCAGCCCGATGCATCACAAAGGCTTGGACATAGTCCGCAACTCCCTTCCTAACTTGAGTCCCTGACAGCACCCATGCCAACGCCCTCAGCAGCAGCAGTTCCACTGAATACTTTGTGTTAGCCTTGAGCAGGGTATTGCATTTACTCACCACCTCCTCTGAGCATCCTCGCCTGAGCAGGGTCTCCAGTTGATATAGTGAGGACACCACATTGTCGGGACTTAGGGTGGAGAGAAAGATGGCAGCTATTCCCACACTGAGGGAGACAACGGCCAAGTTCTTGCTCTGGATCTTGGGAATCTGACTCTTGCCTCTGCACCACATCTCCAGAGCGGCTACCACTTTCTCCCTGAGCTCTTTGTCGAAGGAGTTCACTTTCTGTACTGCTGTGAAGGCACTGCAGCAGAAGGCAGCCATGTAGAAGGCAGTGGCTATCGGTACCTCCTGCTGGGCGAGATGGTGGTCCCCTTCTTTGCAGAGCAGTGCAGCAAGCTCCTGAGGTGACATTTTCTGTGCTTCTGTCTTCAGAATCCCCCATGTAACGTGGCTAGTGCCTGTAAAACAGAAAATCAGCAATAAGAGTGGCTGTGGAGCACGATTTTTTTTTTTTGCTTGGGGGGCAGCTTTTCAAGTGACAGACATAAAGCAAGCCCAGGTGCAGGAAAAAATCCAGGGATCTGTTCCTGAGAGGCTGACTGCGGAGCAAAGCCACGAGAAGAAATGCTTCCTAAGGTTCCTAGTCCGCAGCCCGGAAAGCAGCAAAAGGAAGATGAGGCTATTGCAAAAGAGAATGTCTTTGTATCTCCCCATGTATCCACCACCACACCTTTCTCCAAAGACATCATTAATGTGCAACAAATGGAGTCAGCCTTCCAATGATGTGACCATCATCTCAGAATCTGAGCTGGATTAGGATCCAATTTATTTAGGAGGAATCCTTGGAGATTTTAGTATGATGGAATAGAAGCAGCACAAATGACAG